GCTTTGGGGCACCCAAGAAAGTCCAGCAAGCACAAGGACCATCTCCTAAAGTTGATCCAGCTGCAAAATTGGGGCACCACCAGTGCAGAACTTGCAGGAATGGCAGCAGGCAGGTGTGAGTGCATCTGCACACACAGTGAGGTATAGACTATTGGTGGATGATCTGGTGTCAAGAAGGGCAGCAAAGAAGCCACTTCTCTCCAGGAAAAACATCAGGGACTGACTGATATTCTGCAAAAGGTACAGGGATTGGATGGCTCAGGACTGGGGTAAAGTCATTTTCTCTGAATCCCCTTTCTAATTGTTTTGGGCATCTGGGAAAAAAACCTTGTACAGAGAAGAAAAGGTGAGCGCTACCATCAGTCCTGTGTCATGACAACAGTAAAGCATTCTGAGACCATTCATGTGTGGGGTTGCTTCTCAGCCAAGGGAGTGGGCTCGCTTACCGTTTTTTCCCTAAGAACACAGCCATGAATAAAGAATGGCACAAAAACATCCTGTGAGGGCAATTTCTCCCAACCATCCAAGAACAGTTTGGTTACGAACAATGCCTTTTCCAGCATGATGGAGCACCTTGTTATAAGGCAAAAGTGATAACTAAATGGCTTGAGGGACAAAACTTCAAAACTTGGGGTCATGGCCAGGAAACTCCGCAGAACTTAATCCATTTGAGAACTTGTGGTCAATCCTCAAGAGGCGGGTGAACAAAAAACCTCCCACGAATTCTGACAAACTCCAAGCATTGATTATGCAAGAATGGGCTGGCATCACTCAGGACGTGGCCCAGAAGTTTGACAGCATGCCAGGGCGAATTGCAGAGGTCTTGGAAAAGTAGAAACAGCACTGCAAATATTGACTCTGCATAAACTTAATGTAATTGTCAATAAAAGCCTTTCAAACATTATGAAATGTTTGTAATTATACTTTAGTATACCCTAGTAACATCTGACAAAAAAATCTAAAACACAGAAGCATCAGATTGAAAATTAATGTGTCATTCTCACAACTTTTTTTTTTTTTTTTTTTAAATTTTCAGACAAAAAAAGGAACTCCCAAAATATTCCATAACATTCATTTTACAATACAGTATTTTCTTCCATATTCCCCCAACACAACCCCCACCCACATCTACCACCCTTGCCCTCTCTCAAAACTTTTGGCCAGAGCTGTACATAAACTTTTTTATATTTTATGGTAAAAAAAAGAAAAATTAAACAAAAAAAAAAATTTGTTTCCAAAGAAAAATGTTATTTAATATATATATATATATATATATATATATATATATATATATATATATTTACATTTTTCTTTAAAAAAAACCAAAAAAATTCTGTTTCAGTGCCATAATTTTAGATGCATTCGCATGCTTGCACATCTGTACGCATGATATATGTGCATATATTGCAGCACTGACAAATGAAGAATTTTGAGTGTATGTGCATGTAAGCAAAGCCTTCATGAAACGCTTTCTTCAGGATCCTAATGTTAAACTTATTACATCTGTCTGCAACCAGCCTTATTGTTGCATAACGTTTATGAAGCTTGGCAGATTTTGCATCTGCCTAACATCAAAACCTCCTGTATTCCTCCTATTCCTGTAATGTTTAACGTATACTGTGACCTATTAGGTAGGATAAAGATACTGCTGTGGGTTTGCTCATTCCTCTGCTAATCCTGCAGATGACATTTGATTCAAAGGCAAGGTTTGGTGTATGTAGAGACTAATTTTTAATACTACTTTATACTATACAAAAAAAATAAATCGTTAATACTCCTGCGCTACATTAAACTGATTGTGCTATTCAAATGAATGTATTATGAAATACCAGTGAATTGGGTGTGTTTCTCTTTAAATGCTGGTAGCATCCAAATGTGTGCCCACATTAAATGAAATGCATTACTGTGATAAGTGGTGCTGTGCTGCTATAGGGAATAGTTGATATAAGTGACATATGAAATCCTTATTAGACAACTGAATTATCATGCATATATAAACTTCTAGTGCATTCCAACATGTGCAGATATAAACTTAATGATTGTAGTAGTTCATAGAGCCCACATTGTGTGCGTGATTCGTTTGATCAGATGCTTTCAAAAGCCAGTGACTGCTTGTAAACAACAAACCGAAACCAGAAGTGACAAAATCCTTGTGACTTACAGTTTCTGACATCTGAGAATAGGAGCTGGAACTTCTGTTCCTTCCTTCTCAGTGAATGCAACCTCACTTGTGTTCGCCCCTGAAAGACCTACTTGCGGCACTGGCGTGGGGAGCCGTTCGTGTCGGGAGAACATACTGGGTTGTACCCACGTTGTAGAATAATCAAGTCTGGTACAAACAATCTGGGGGCAGATTAACTCTGTCCTAGGGTGACATTGCTTCTTCTCCATAGTTTATTTTTGCCACTTGACAGAAAGTCAAGAAATAAAGGAAAAGAATCCTTAAAAAGTTAACCACTTCAAGTCCGGACACTTTTACCCCCTTCCTGTCCAGGCCAATTTTCAGCTTTCAGTGCTATTACACTTTTGAATGACAATTGCGCGGTCATGCAACACTGTACCCATATGAATTTTTGAGCATTTTTTTGAGACAGATAAAACTTTATTTTGGTGGCATTTATTCACCACTGGGATTTTTTATTTTTTTTGCTATATAAATGAAAGTCCAAACTTTTTTAAAGTGTTTCTTATAAAATTTTGCAAATCTTTCTTCATAAATCTTGGCCAAAATTTATTTGGCTATCCTTTTGTAGTAAAAAAAGAAAAAAAAGAAATTACCCAAATTAGTTTATAACCAAAAATTATAATTTTTCTAATTTTTTTTTTTTAACATACGGTCACCCTAGCAGTACAGTGTCACCATAGTGACACTGTACTACTTGTGGGGGGTGATGAAGTTTTTTTTTTTTTTTTTTTTTTTTTTTAACACGGATTGCTTTTTACACCCATAAAGGCTGTAAAAGCAATAATTTCTCCTTCTCTCTGGCTGCATTCTTGCAGCCATTGAGAAATACTAAGAGCTGTGATTGGTCACAGCTTGTCACATGGTACAAGGCTGTTGTGAATAGCCCTGTACCATGTGACCTCTGGGATCATTCACAGATTTCATAAGTAGTAAGCAATGATGTCAAGAAGTGACATCTTGCTTACTATTCATATGATCACTGATTGGCCAATCAGTGATCACATGAATCAGGACCTCACACAGAGGTCCTGTACAGCGATTGATATTCGGAGGACACAGCAGCACCAGATCGCGGTGCCGCGCACTCCCAGGAAGCACGCACAGCCAGAAAAAGCGTGCGCCATTTATGAACGGCAACCCGCTCCTGTACTGCGCTTGTCCGGCCGTTTTATGTATATGGGCCGGACGGGAAGTGGTTAATAAGCTACCATTTCTATGGACTGGTAAGCTGCAGTATATTATATATTTTCCTTGGATTCAGATAGTTTGTGTCTCCAAACATGTATGAGATCTTGCATAGAAGTGCAGAAAATGTTTGTGTTTTTTTAATCATAAGACTGTTAAGTTTTCCTCTTGGACTCAATGTGTAAATAGAAGGTGAATGCTAGGTAAACCAGCCGCTCCCTCCCGAGGATTATCTGACTGTGTATACTTTTCATATGCCATAAAGGAAGTTGCTAACAGACTGTCTGCATTCTGTGTTCTCACCACAGCTTGTGTAGTAAAGCAATGTAAGAGAAACAGAATGGACTCCTTAGGTGTTAAGAATGTTGTTTCATCTTGTACGCATAGCTTCTGTTAAACGTTTGATGACTGTATTCTGTACAACTTTGGTTATTGCATTTCATTTAATGTGGGCTTGATGACATTGTATTTGGGTTTCTGTCATTCATGTTATACAAGCTGTACACTCACTACTTTACATTGTAGCAATGTGTCATTTCTTCAGTGTTGTCACATGATACAGATATAATAGATTTACAAAAATGTGAGGGGTGGACTCTCTTCTGTGAGATACTGTATCTTTGTACAAGATTTCTTTAATTTTAAAATATGCTGTACTGTACAACCCCAGGCAAAGAATTTAATTATGGTGTGGAAAATGAAACTTGCCTATATCTACCTCATAAAAATAACTGCTGTGTGCTTTAAAAAAATGTTAAAAACTACTTGCCCAGGGACTAAATTGGGGTCTGAATCTACTTGTCCCGATTTAAAAAAAAAAAAAAATTCTAACCAAGCCATATTTAAAACAAGGGTGCTTTTTAGGAATGTCTGGGGCTTTTAAAAACAAAAGGGGGCTTATGTCGACTTATACTTTTAATGTTTTTAACATTGCACGGTTTTTTCTCCTGCTCATCTCCCTGCTTTTTTTTTTTTTGCAGGTAGAAAAAAACCTGCTTGCCCACCGTAGGGCTAAACAAAAAAAAAAAAAAAAAACACCTGCCTGGTGCCCGGACCTACATTTCCCAGGCGTTGGGGTGATCTAAATCACGCACCCCTGTTTTATTGATGCTAGAACGTACAACCTTCCAAGTTCTTCAACTCTCCTAGAGAAGCGATTCTGTCAATTTGCCCCTCAACTCCTCTTGTCCATTCTCAGAGCACCTTTTTATTTTGCAAATGATTTACAGAATACAAGGCTATCTGTAATTGGACAAGGGGAGAATTATAAACAAAAAAGCTTCTGCGTGGGTTGCAGCTCTAGTAGTATGGAGCTGGCTGTACTTTCTGGCATTTATGAAAACACAATTATTACAACACACAGCAGTGATATTTTATGTGGGGTAAACCTAAGAGGTAACTTCCCCCCCCAATATCAGAAAATTAAAAGGAAATCTCCTGCTTTAAGAAACATGTTGCTGACCTAAGTTTTTTGAAGTGCTTCCTTTTTAGAATGTGATCACCACTTGTCATGGTCCTTGGCATGTTAAAAAAAAAAAAAAAAAATAAAAATACATAAATATAAATATATATATATATAACAGTTATTACCTTTTTAGATTAACTGCATCAATGTTTTTCTTTTAAACAGTGGAGGAAGATGGAATTTGGGAAAATGGTCTTTCCTATGATTGTCGTACTCTGCTATTCAAGGCTATCCACAATTTGCTGGAGAGATGTTTAAATAACCGTAACTTTGTGCGGATTGGGAAATGGTTTGTGAAGCCATATGAAAAAGATGAAAAACCCGTTAATAAAAGGTGAGTTGCTGTGTTCATTTTAGTAAAGTCATCCTACTGTAAGCACTCCAAATATCTAAGGCTGACCAGATTGTCAAATGGTTTACCAAGAATGCAGTGGAATGACCTGCTTAGGGAGGCTTTTTATTTTACCGTACTACTTTGAGAAGCAGAATTGGACCGGACTTGGTTAATCATTTTGTTCTTGTTTAGGAAAGTGAATGATAAACGTCTGAATTCCAGGCATGGTATATTTTTTACATAGTTCGCTCTAGCTTGGACCAACTTGGGGCTCCATGCACGCTAGCTTATTTTTAAGCTTCTAGCAGCTACTTATGGGAGGTTTTTTTTTTTTTTTTTTTTTTTTTCTTTCCTTCCTTCCCCTAGAAGCAGATAGTGTTATCCTATGTGTCCATGTACACTATTTGTAGGCTATAAGCATTTTTTCAAGTTTCACTTTCTAGGGGCAGGAAAAAAAAAACCCTGCTCCTAAAAAGCCAGTTCCAGCATTTTTTTTTTCTTTTCTTCCAGTAAACCTCTGGTTAAGGATTGGGTAAGCAAGCTGGCCACCCATCCTTAAGGGATGACTCATCCAGCTGTTAGTGGTGTTCCCTGCTGACAGCTGAATGTAAACAAAAGAATTAGCAATTTGAAATTTTTATCATGCTGTGTGTTTTTTGTTTTAATTTTGGCATGGGGTTCCCCTTTAAATCTTATTTTAATTGGTGTCAATTCTTTTGTTTACATTCAGCTGTCAGTGGGGAGCCTGCTGACAGCTGATGAGTCATTGGTTGTTAAGGATGAGGGAGTCTGACTTTGTGTGCCCGCTCCTTAAAGTGGAACTTTAGTCAGAAAATTGTGTCTTGCTAGATCACTTCAGGCTGGCCCCTTTTGCAGGTATAGCTATGTAAAACATTAAAAATAAGCTCCTATACTGTTTAAAAATCCAGTATTACACTCTCACCCTGCTCTGCGCATGAGCTCAGTTGCTCTCCATTTTTAGAAACTGTGCCAAATTTGTATAGGCCAATCTGTGGTGACAGTCTAAAGACTAAAGTGGAACTAAACCTCTAGACTCTGCTATTTCTCTTGCTTCCAGGTCCCATATTTAGTGGCTGGCCTGGTGCATTGTGAATACAGGAGGTGAGCTGCTCAGCATGGGCGTGCCATGCAGAGAATGCTTTGGGTTTTCTGAATAAATGGAGATCATTTTCTTACTGGCCAACTTGTCCAATTTATTTCTTCCGAAAGCGCAAAGCATTCTCTGGTGTCTGTACTGAGCTGGCCACCTCCTGTTTGTGGAACGCATAATGCCAGACACTCGGCACAGGAGTAGTGATGTCTATTGCTTCCAGGGCTTTTGGCCCTGTGTGTGAGAGAGTGTATATGTGAGAGATGTGTGTGTGTGTGTGTATGTATGTATATATATATATATATATATATATATATATATAATATATATATATATATATATATGTGTGTGTGTGTGTGTGTGTGTGTGAATATGTATATATATATATATATATATATATATATATATATATTACGAACACACATTTTTCCTATTTCACACAAAAAAGGTATTGCATTTAGAAAGTATCGGGACATAATTCCCTTTTTTTGCACACCCTTTTTTTTGACACCTCTCACCCGGAATTTTGGTTTGGAAGGACACCTTTTCCCAACAGCAATTTTAAGATCTCTCCACAGGTGTTCAATGGGATTTAGATCTGGGCTCATTGCTGGCCACTTCAGAACTCTCCAGCGCTTCTTTGCCATCCATTTCTGAGTGCTTTTTGACGTATGTTTGGGGTCATTGTCCTGCTGGAAGACCCAGGATCTTGGACGCAAACCCAGCTTTCTGACACTGGGCCCTGATGACCCTAATAGATTTTGTGCCAGAGGCAGCAAAAAACAACCCCAAAAAACCCTTTGTCTTTGTAGGCCTCATTCCGTTTTCGGTAAACAGTAGAATGATGTGCTTTACCGAAAAGCTCTATCTTGGTCTCATCTGTCCACAAGACGTTTTCCCAGAAGGCTTTTGGCTTACTCAAGTACATTTTGGCAAACTGTAACTGCCATAGCGTTTCATTTCATTTAAATGTCAACGGATAGTTCGCGCTGACACTGATGCTCCCTGAGCCTGCAGGACAGCTTGAATGTCTTTGGAACATGTTTTGGGGCTGCTTATGCAATCTTTCATCAATTTTCCTCATCCGTCCACGACCAGGGAGATTAGCTACAGTGCCATGGGTTGCAAACTTCTTGATAATGTTGCGCACTGTGGACAAAAACTTCTTCTAGTTCTCTGGAGATGGACTTGTAACCTTGAGATTGTTGATATTTTTGCCACAATTTTGGTTCTCAGGTCCTCAGACAGTTCTCGTCTCCTCTTTCTGTTGTCCATGCTTAGTGTGGCACAGACAGACACACAATGCAAAGGTTAATTCTCTCTCCTTTTTATCTGAGGTGTGATGTTTCTACACCATTATGTCCCAATACACACAAAGGGAATAAACATGTGTATAGCAAAACATGTGTTAATTGCAATAGTTCACCTGTGTGTATATATATATATATATAATATATATATAAATATATATTATATATATATATATATATATATATATTACACACACATACAGTGCATTTAGAAAGTATCGGGCCCTTCACATGTGCAACCTGATGCTATAGTTGTTTAAACCCTTTGTAACATCACTTGCTCAGGTGCATCACATTTCTCTTGACTGTTGCTGAGATGTTTCTACACCTTGATTGATTGCAGTTCACCTGTGGTAAATTTTAAATTATTTGGACAAGATTTGTCCTCTTTATAAAAGACCTCTTAGCTGACCATGCATACTGTATCAGAGCAAAAGCCATAAGGTCTGTGGAACTGCCTGCAGAGCTCTGAGGCAGGATTATTGAAAGTCACAGATCTGGGGAAGGCTGCAAAAATTTTCTGCTGCACTGAAAGATGTTTGGCACAATCAGGATCTTTCCAAGTGCTGGTCGCCCACCCAAACTGAGCAGTTGAAGAAGGGACTTTGTATAATAGGTGATCAAGAACCCCATGGTCACTGTATAATAGGTGATCAAGAACCCCATGGTCACTCTGCATGAGCTTCAGAGGTCCTGTGTGGAGATGGTACAAAGTTCCAAAAGGACAACAATCACTGCAGCCCTCCATCGATCCATGATTTATTGCAGAGTGGCTAGACATAAGCCCCTCCTCCATGCAAAATACATGAAAGCCTGCTTGGAGTTTGCAAAAGCCTTTTTTGTGATATTTCAGTTTTTTTTTTGTTTTTTTTTAATGTAGATCTTTCTGAAATTCTGTTTTCTCTGTCATTATGGGGTACTGAGTGTAGATTAATAAGAAAAAAATGAATTGAAACAACTGTAATATCAGGCCGCAAAATAACATAATTGAAAAAAATGAAGGGGGGTTGAAGACATGGATTTCTTCTTCTGTTTTTAGTCTGATACCCAGTGCTACTTTATGCTGTGGAGGCAATCTACAGTTCAGTCCTCGAATGATCATTGATGTGTGTTGTTTGCATGTAAACCATGTAGAAGTATGAGCATAGGTTCTATTAACCTGGAACCGCTCATGGTTCGGTCCTTGATGTCACAAGCAAAAGCACAATATGTTTTTCATAGCTATCTCAAAATAGAAATGCATACAATTTTTTTTTACTTGCTGTGCCTGATCAGTATTCTTAGAAAGTACTTTGATAAATTGGAAGTGGCTTCAGAACTGGAGAGATGCTCTAAGTAGGACAGTGTGGGATAAACAGGAACTGTGATCACAGGAATAGCCAGCATATTGGGTTTCTGTAAAGGCATACATACATAAAAACGAAGCAGAGTTGCCTTTTTGCTTGACTTTAAAGATGTGGAATTTGTGAGACGTGGTGTGTAAGTGATTATAGATTATAAATATACATATATAGAGTTTAGATCAATATAAAAGGCTAACAATCTCAGTAAAAACCTATCTACAATAGAAACCAATTTAGAAAACACTTTTTGTTTTGAAGTGACCTGTGATTCTGCCAGTACGTCTTTTTATGGCAAAATGTCCTTTGTGGAGGTGACAATGTTCAGAGTATTTTCATCTTCCTTGTCACAATTATTGCACAACATGCTTGCAGAACACTCTGTATCAGTATGCAACTATCTTCACCATCCCCTTCCCCAAAGCATAGTAATAATCTACACTCAGACCAGCATTTTAAACAATACTACAAAACAAAAGAGAAATTCCGAAAATGTAACGGAGGTCCTTCACATTACTAGTAATACTGTGCTTGTTTTAAAGCTGACCTCCAAGCAAACCACTAAATACAGATTAAATACTTAGTGATTTACCTGTTGAAGGATTTATATTTCTGCTTCTACAGTTCAGATATTAACACCACTTGTGACACCACATTCTACCTGACAGCTGATTTGCTCTGCTGTAGTTTTATCACAACTAGTTGGCTCGTGTTGTTCCTCCCCTCCCTTTTTCTCAGCTCTGCTGTACAGGTACTGCAAAAGGCCGATACCAAGTCAAATTAAGGTACTTGCCCTGTATTAAAAGCTTCTCTAGGAATCTATTTTTTTTTTGCCCTTTAAAGAAATAGTCCCTTAGATGGCAGTGATGTAGTACATTCCAGGAATCGGTAGAGCTTATTGCACTGTTGTCACTTTGTTCCTCTTACAATTTAGGTCCATAGAAGTTAATGTTGCTTAAATGTTGAACCACTCTAGAGCCAGCTGAGAATATACCCATGAGAATATTTTCACTGTGCGATGCAGTCTATAAAAAGAACATGCAAGCAGAATTTGCATTTTGGCCAATACTTTTACAGACCAACTTGTACTGTACTGGTGTGTGACTTGTTAAAATGGAATGCACTTGATTTTGGTAGATTTTATTTTTACTTGATACTAGAAAGGCCTGTTGCTATCTGAATGTATGGTGTGTTGTGATTGAACTTTATAATAGGTGGACAGATTGTAGGTGTTGCCTT